AAAACCTTGCCACGCAAACCCAACACATAAGGCAATTCTTCCTAGGTGTCTGTCCTCTGAATTCTGTGTGATCTTTCAAGGATGAAAATTTCGGTACTATAGGTAACTGCACATGTGAGCTCCTTGGTGTTGTGGTCAGGAGGTTTGGATTATGGTATGTACATTGGGAAGGAAGGGATGTCTAACACCATGGCATGCTGGCTCTGCTGAAACTTGTTTCCCTTTTGCTCCTTTAACTTAGAAGAAGCTTCCTAATGTCTCTTACATTAATAAGCTAAGTCGTAACTTAGAGGCTTCTAAATGGACAAACATTATCTGCATACGTAAGGACAGGCTGAGATTATCTGCATTATCTGCATCCTGTGAGGACAGACTGAGAGGGTTGGGATTGTTCAGCCTGGAGAAAAGAAGGCTCTGGGGAGATCTAATTGTGGCCTTCCAGTATCTGAAGGGGGCCTACAGGAAAGCTGGTGAGGGACTGTTTATCAGGGAGTGTAGTGACAGGACTAGGGGTAATGGATTCAAGCTGAAGGAGGGTCGATTTAGATGAGATGTTAGAAAGAAATTCTTTACTGTTAGAGTGGTGAGGCACTGGAACAGGTTGCCCAGAGAGGTTGTGGATGCCCCCTCCCTGGAAGTGTTTAAGACTAGGTTGGACGAGGCTTTGGGCAATGTGGTCTAGTGGAGGGTGTCCCTGCCCGCAGCAGGGGGGTTGGTACTAGATGATCTTTGAGGTCCTTTCCAACCCAAACCATTCTATGATACATCTTAATCAGATTTCTCTCAAAGTTATAAAACAGATGTGATATTAAAAAACAGTGTATATAAATGGAGGCAATGAACAGAACCTAAAAAGAGAACGTAAAATCTGAGTAGATTCTAAGAACTAAATAGCAAGAAATTACTGCAAGTCTAGTAAATGAAGGCCTTGAAATAATGTTTTAAATTGGATGGGGAGAAAAGTGTTGGAGACTTGTATGCGGATTCTGTCCGTAAGTCCTTCCAGCAAAGATTGATCAAGCCATTCTTGCAGGGAAGAAATTTTCATGCTGCTTCTAAGATGATTATTCTATGCTTGTTTATTGTGTTGCTATAGCAAAGGTTTTTTTCTAAGACACTTGTCAGTAAAGCATTTATACCATTAACTTCTCTTCTAGTAATACAGTGTAGGGTTATTACAAACTGGCATTTAAAACTGTAAGTTTTTCTGTTGATTGTAAAACTAACTTAAACTTGGGCATCGGATGGATAGCTTAATATATGTATTAGTAGTTTTATTCATCTATGAGTATGTCCTACCTCTTTTTGTTGTCAACTACAAATATGCTTCAGGAAAATCTCTCTTCATTCATTACACTATGACAGCCTCCTCACTCTCATCTTATGCACCTCCAATTATTTAATTTCTCATTTTTGGCAAGGCATGCCTTGAACTGACCAATGAAACCTGGTGTAGCATAGAGATTCAGTTGACTATTTGAGATACCCAGCAATCTTTGTCTATCTGTTCTGGAGAAAAAGGCTAACTTTTATCATTCGTTTAGCCCTAGGAATATGACTCGGACTTCATCAGTCACCTGTTTATTGTTTCTAAGAGCATGTCCTACCTAGTAAGATTGCTTTAGACAGCTAGATTGTACCACTTCAGGTGACAGTAACTTAAAATATGGATATTTCTGCATGATCTTGCCTTCCTTCAGTCCCTTTTCTGATGCTGTAGGTGAGGTTGCCAGGATGAAGGTTGCAAGCTATCAGTGCAAATGGTGCAGAACCTCATTCTGACACATGGTGCTTGAAAGGCACCATGCTGGGTTTAGTCTACAAACAAGCTTTTTCAAGGTGATACCGAATTCTTAAATACTGGTTATCTTCAAGCAGCTTTTGTTTCAAAGAAAAGTATTCTGTTAAACCATGATTGTTTTTTAAATACGTAATTCTGTATCTTAATTCACTTGACACATGCAAAGCTAGATGCAGCTATGGTATGGATGTAATCAGTAGAACGGTAGAAGAGGGTCTTTAGGCTATATGGCAATTAGACGCTACTTGGTTCTAATTTAGGAATTTTTAAGTCTTAGCAACATTTAGCTTACTGAGCATTCATCATTTTGTTACTCATCCAGTCTACCAGTGATTGCATATTGTATTTCACTCACTGGAGTTATAAAGATGTTCTAGGATGTGATCTTGGGGAGATAGGAAGTAAGTGTGTCCTGTCCCTGTGGTTCTGAAATGGGAAACGAGCCTAACTGAGAGTGATGGGAATTGTTGAGAGAGACAATTAGCTTTCCCAAGATGTTCCACAATTTCAGTTGTTTTGTCATGTGGGCTTTCTGAGACAATGTTATGCAGTGGTAGGCTAGTCAAAATATGTAACAAATTCCAATGTATTTTTCTTCCATGGTTTATTTTTAATCCTCTTATGTGCCCATGGAGACTTACGCTGTTGATTTGTTTTGACCTGAGAATTACATGGTTGGACTATATATTGTGTGAAAAAACACCTTCTCTTGTTGTGAAATTTTTTTTATATCCTCTGATTTGTCCTTAGTTCATTGATATGAATGCATGATATTCAAAGGGCTTTTAAGTGGAGGGTACACTGTATTTTATTTTTTGTTTGTGTAGTTAATGTTATCATCCACTTCTATAGTATCCTTTTTCATATTCTTTAAAAAAAAAATTTGCTTCCAGGTGATGAGTATGGTGTCGGGATTTGCACCACTGATTTCTGCAGGTATTTTTTCAGCCACCCTGTCTTCTGCATTAGCATCTCTTGTGAGTGCACCTAAGATCTTCCAGGTGAGTATGGAAGCAAAACTATAATCTTTTAAAGAATAATTTCAATTGACTTTTGAATCAGAAGTTTTGGAAGGGGACTCTGACATACTGCAATGATGATTCATACCATTTAACATCACTAGATTGATCTAATATTTACATGTTGCTTAGAATGGGAAAACAATGGGTTACTGTTACTAAATGTAGCCAGATTATAATTTGTTCCTGATCTCATGCGTTTCTGGTTAGTTTAGAGATTAGTTATTGTGTAACTAACATTACAGAAATTTAAAAACTCCTTTAGATGCTTTTTTGTTGTAATGGTTGAGCACATACAAAGATAAGAGATTAGTTTATCTCTCCAAGTAATCACAGGAGACAACATGAAGTACAACCTGTAGGTGTGGAATCTTAATCCATATTAATAGATTATCAAAATAATTGTGTACCAGTTATCATGTAAATAATTTACATTGATGTTGTTGGTGTTCCTGAATGCATTTTGCTTTACCTTCTTTTCAACCATTTAATCTCACTGTCTTACAAATTCTCTTTAATTGGGTAAAACTTTAGTGTCCTCTAATGACCTTCTTTCCCAAAAATTCAGTAGGAAGTCAAACATAGAAGGGATTTTGTTGCAGAACAGAAGCATGAGTATCAATGCAGAGAACTAGTATATACATTGGGCAAACTTTCCACGTTCTGAGAAAACTTAGTCTCTAAAGAAAGACTCTTTATGATTGTAAGACACCAGTAAAGCAAAATAGTCAATTACTCGCAGAAGAGCAAAGCATGTTCTTAGAGATTACTGAAGGATAGAATATTGCAAACGCAAAATGTCAAGATGCAAAGACCATTAAAAATAGAATTAGTACGTGAATGCTATAAACCATCTTCTTTCAGGAAAATAATATGCAGTGGGAGACAGCATTAGTAAGCATTATACGAACACAATTTGAACAAAATGCATGCTGACTCTTGAATCTTGTTTTTTCTTAGGCTTTGTGCAAGGATAACATTTATCCAGGATTTCAGATGTTTGCTAAAGGCTATGGGAAGAACAATGAACCACTGAGAGGATATCTTCTAACATTTTTAATTGCTCTTGGATTCATATTAATTGGTTAGTTTGAAATTATAATAAATCTCAATATCCTTTTGTCCTTTACAAAACATTCTATTCCATATCATGACTTGATGACAGTGTCATAGATGTCTAATGCACAGTTTAATTCTAAGCCAGCATTCTAAATCTATTTATTTCAAGGGTTACTTTCGCTGATCTTCTAGATACAACTCTGTCTAGAACTGCAATAAATTTTGAATTGAACTGTAGCAGTACTGCACTTTTCTTAATAACCACAAGTATCTGTATTTAGATACTATCACTAAAAATACATCTTTTGCTTAAGGTAGAGAGGTGTTGTCTTGTAATATGAAAGTTTATTTCAGATTTTTAATAATTAAACAGCTTCAGTAAATAGCAAACTTGCATGAACAATACTTTTTAAAGTGTGTTTTCCTGTTAAGTTACAAACAATACAGATGAATGCTGATGCTGCTGTTGCTAAAGGTAAAGATAGTCTAGGTAGAATTAAATGTCTTCTATGTAGATGGCAAACTAATTGTGCTGTGTCTGTCCATGAGTCCTGTATCAGTGCTTTTAAACTTCTTTTCCCAGTTTGCTCTTTCATACCTGCCCAAAGTCTCCTTAAAGCACAGGAATACCCATGATGTCCCTACTGCAGCATGCTGACTGGAAGTTTGATTACAACAAGTAGAAACATGCAGACTAACATGGCACATTCTGCATTTTGATCACTTTTTTGGATGGTGAAAGTACACATATAAATATTTTGTACCATGCTGCCTCAAAGAAAGGAGAGTGTCAGGTTCTTCCATCTCTTTCACTAAAGAGGGTGTACTCATCACCGCTGTGATGGCATTAGTGTGTAATTATGCACTATACTAGTACCATTAATGCAACTTTTCATTTAAAATGCAGGCTGATTAACATGTTTGTCACATGACTGACACTAACTTTGTCTGCTGTTGTCATTCACCATGGTTGATTGTCTCTTAAACTTAGTAGTATCTTGTTCTTTGCTGTTTTGAGAATTGAGCTAGAGATGTGCTGTGAATATATTAATGCTCTGTGTACTGTTCCTGATGTTCTTCAGAGCCCAGTGCACTGTTTGATCAAGCCACGATAGGAAAGAAATATTCTCAATTTTGAGAAAGTATGTAGTGCTTCAAAAGCGTTAGTCTTTGAACGCTTGGTAGTGTGGAAAAGTGTTTATATTTTTAAAAATAAAAGTTATGCATCCTGACTATTAGAAGATAACTTAGCTAGTATCTCTATGGTCTCTCGTTTACTCTCTATTGAACAGAAAGGACAAACTGCTTCTCCTTAGAGTACATCAGAAAATAAAGTTGTTTGTATGAGATTTTTTTACTCTGGATTCTACAATGCCATTGGATGATATCTTTCATAACAGCCTCTTTGTTTTTTGTTTTACAGCTGAACTGAATGTCATTGCTCCAATTATTTCTAACTTCTTCTTGGCCTCATATGCCTTGATTAACTTCTCTGTATTCCATGCTTCTCTTGCAAAATCTCCAGGTAGGAACTACATTTTGAATGTAAGAGTTTAGCCTGCAGTTTCTTTATGCATAAATACAATTTAAAAGTTATTAATGTAAATGATTGTTTAATCTATTTGACTCATTGTGAATGTGAATTACAAGTGTAATATGGTGTGTACTTGAGTTTTCTGAAATTTAGAGGACTGAGTGATGCAGTAGGGCTTTTGAGCTACTAATTTTGTCATCTTTGCTGAGGGAACATAAGATGATTCTGTGTTTACTCAGAATCTCTTGAAGAAAGCTTTCTTGCTAATAGAGTATCTGGCATTCAAGAATCACCCTTTTGTCATCTTTGGATTTCCCTGTTCATATGTTTCATCTTCCAGTCCAGAAGAAATTGGAGTTGCAGGTGGTATTGCCACATTTGCTGTAGGAGGCTAGTTACATTACAGGAATAAGCCAAAACCTAGTACTTGCAGAACAGATGTATATTGTACCCAGTCTACTATGAGTTTGTACTGAAATAATGCCCTTAAAAGTCTCTTAAGTTGCTGAACTGGTAGATAACACTGCTTTGCCAGAGCACGTGCATAACTTTTTTTACGCAACAGTTCTATGTCTTGTTAATCTTGGCTGTGTTAGTGGGGGTATGAGTGTGTATTTACCTGATTTTGGATAGTCTTGTGACTAATAAGGATTTAAAATGGTGACAGTCCAGTATTTTGACATATTCAAGTTCTATTTGGATATATCTGTCCTTTTCCTTTTCATGTAGTGACAATTTCTGGCCATGTGTAAATAGTAAAAATACACAGCTAGAAAGTTAGTAGTAAGATGGTGAGTCATGAGCTGACGATTCATGTTATGCTACCTTCGAAAGCAAAAATCAATTGTCAGGCAAGCTATTGCCAAAGGTTCCTGTAGCCTGATTTAATAGACGTACTGGCACGAGCATCTGCAAACTTCCCTCTTGAGATACGCTTTTAGAGAGCGAAACTAGGAACAGTTACATATCTATGTAAGAAAGACACAAATTCATTTGAAAGGTGTTGGAAAATTGAAAGCATAGATGTACCAAGTCTTTATTTTGTACATTACTGAAACTGTTACACATCCACAAGAAGTGTGATGCAAAACACTAGGGAAAGAAAAAAGGAATAGCACCTTCCTTCCCTTGGAGTAGTGATTAAATTAATTTCCTCCCTCTTTTCTCTTCTGTCCTCCAAATCATATTTTGACTAGGCTGGCGCCCTGCTTTCAAATACTACAATATGTGGATTTCTCTTGTTGGAGCTATTCTGTGCTGCATTGTGATGTTCGTCATTAATTGGTGGGCAGCACTTCTAACGTATGTCATAGTTCTTGGACTCTACATTTATGTCACTTACAAGAAACCAGGTGTGTATAGGGGCTTCTTTTGATTGTGCTGGGGGAAGAAGGATGTAGAACAAAGAAAAAAGTGGTGGCCTTTAAGAAAAAGAAAAAGAGAACTTATATCTGTTTGGCCGACTAATTTAAATTTCTGTTCCAGGCTTTTTAGTTGTAATGAAATGTAATTATGTCTATATAGTCACTGCTGTTGTTTCCCCTCCTCCCTAATTATCAGGATGCACGCCTTGCACTTAGACAGATATTTGAATGAAAATCAGAAGAAAAGATGTGTATGGAATGAGTTTGGGTTGCAGCAACAAAGGCACTAGGAAAGCATGTTATGTTTTGATAGAAAGTGAAGGAGGATGCTCCCTTAACTTTCTGAATTAAAAAGGGATTTGAGTGGTGGTTGTTTATTTCAGTAAGCCATTCCTATAGCTATGAACAACAATTTGTAAACTTTCTTCCCTCTTCTAAGAGCACTGTGTGATCATAAATGCAAGATGGAGCAGAACTGCACCAAAAAGTGTTCCTGAAGTTGAAAATAAGGAAAACTCTACATCTGAGGCTATGAAGCTAATGAAGTACTTGGATGATAAATTCATTGTAGCTATCAAAAGATGTATATGGGAACAAATAAAGAGGAGACTGGGATCTTCCATTTCCTTATAAAAATAATAATGTAAAAGGAACTGCTTAATCTAGCAGTTTTTCACTGAAAGTATATGACTTTGTTGAGGCAGTATTTTGAGGTTTCTTTTTCTTCACTGTGATATAAAATAACTACACATGGCATTTTTTCCTGAAGTGTTTTTTTTTTACTCTGAAGTTGTCACAATCTTTGAAATGCTGGGGGGAAAAACCTCAGTTCTTCCTTCCTGTAATTGTAAAATACCAAACTCTTACTTGTTTGCTAAAACTTTTACAGAAATATTTTCTTTAAATATAATTGCTTAGCTGTAGGGTTTGACTAGTATTTTGTAGAACATACCAAGGTGTAGCTTAAATCTTCTGTGTTTTCAGTTGATATTTAACATTCATTTTGTGATCGTGTAGTTTTACAATGAACAGCTTTAAATAATATATTGGAACTTCAAATCTTCCAACAGATGTGAACTGGGGATCCTCAACGCAAGCTTTGACTTACTTGAATGCACTACAACATTCTATTCGGCTCTCAGGAGTGGAAGATCATGTGAAAAACTTCAGGTAACAGTTAGAAGTAATTTCCTATGTCTTTAATACTATGTATTCAGTAGGGTAATGTCACGCTGTTTGCTGTGATGGTTTCTGTTAAATGCCTGTTCACCTCCTCTGGGTAGTAACAACTTTGAATTTCACCACTGTGGACATACTCTAGACAAATTTACATTAGCATGTTATTTCTGATTAAGAGTGCACTTTACAACCAAGTAATGGATGATGCCTGCTTATTGTTAGATGCCTCATGGTTTTCATTGTGAACCGTGAATTTTGTTCCTCTTTGAAACTGAATTGGAAGATATGCTCCAAACTGCTAATGAGCATTCAGTCCATATGCTTGGGATAAAACTGATCTAACCTAAAATCCCCAAGATCTGTATACTGTGTATGTTGTCCTGAACAAAAGCTATTTCACATTAGACATATTCTGTCATTGTCCTTCAGTAATGGCAGACTACATGAGTGTTTCTCACACAACTGGAGAGAACTGATTTGTTGTCTGCTAGCATGGCTACTCAGAAAGGTCCAACTCAAGGATCCACCTGTAGTATTTATATCACTTTTCTGGAATAAGCTATTGTAGAAGAAAGATGCTTCAAAAAATTGTAACAAAAGTATTGATTTACATTCCTCCAAATAAATAGAATTGTAGATTCAATGATGTAGTCTTGTACAATCCCCAAATCAACTGACTCGCCATAGATCTGGCAGCAAAGTTAGAGCCTACTTTGATGTTATATCAGATTGCTCAGGGCCATATCCAGTCAGGCTTTTGAGTATTTCCAAGGATGGCAGTTCTGTTGACCTCTTTTCAAATAGAGCAGTTACCTCCTACATGTGACCTATGCTCAGTACAGGATTTACACTATTGACACTTAGTCTAGAAAATCTCTATCATCCCTTGCAGCTGTATAGTTGTATTATCTGTTATCCTCAGTGTATTAGCAAGAGAATCTAGCTACTAAAATCTTCTGTGGTGTGTGAAGGCAGACTTTGCATTCTTAGGGCAGAATTTAAAAAGGAGTTCATGCAGAGACTCTTGATACAGATACCATTCTGTGAGGTTAAATCCAGAATGCAGAATCAGCAAGTGTAACTTTCTGCTTGTGCTGATACAGTAATTGAATGCTGTGCTGATCAGTATGTGTTTAAGATTGCACTGGAAGTATTTTAGCTCTTTTGTTTGGCAAGCTAGTATATAGCTTTCTGAGTTCATTCCCCCTGTACTCCTTACTGGTGAGGCCACACCTTGAGTACAGTGTGCAGTTTTGAGCCCCTCACTACAAGAAGGACATTGAAGTGCTGGAGAATGTCCAAAGAAGGGCAGTGCAGCTGGTGAAGGGTCTGGAGAACAAGTCTTATGAGGAGCAGCTGAGGGAACTGGGGTTGTTTAGTCTGGAGAAAAGGAGGTGGAGCGGGGACCTTATTGCTCTCTTCAGCTGCCTGTAAAGAGGTTGTAGCCAGGTGGATGTTGGTCTCTTCTCCCAAGTAACAAGCAATAGGATGAAGGGAAACAGCCTCAAGTTGTGGCAGGGGAGGTTTATATTGGATATGAGGAAAAATGTCTTCACTGAAAGTGTTGTCAAGCACTGGAACAGGCTGCTCAGGGAAGTGGTTGAGTCACCATCCCTGGACGTATTTCAAAAGATGTGTAGATGTGGAGCTTAGGGACATGGTTTAGTGGTGGGTTAACAGTTGGACTCAATGATCTTAAAGGTCTCTTCCAACCTAAATGATTCTATGATTCTCTTCTATGATTCCAATATGGAAAACGAGCTGCAGCTGCCATAGAGATTGAGACAGATCACTTTAGGTGATAGGAAAAATTATTTCCTGAAATGAATTCTCAAGTCTGGACACTTAATCTTTTAAAATTGATTAGAAAGTCATCTAGAGTAATGTACTTGCAGTTTTTTCGCTCTGGCTTCTGAATGATAGTAATTAAAAAAAAAAGCGTATGATTCCAGTTCTTGTTGGACACACAGTCTAAGCTGGAAAATGCAAAGGTATGTGATTTAGATACGGAGGAAGAAATTAATCCCTCTGACTTAGTCTCGTCTACAGTCTGTTTCTGATCTTTTAAATTTGTAGTGGGATTACTACGTTTGCAACCAATTAATCATAGGTGTGCTGATGGTTATGTAAAAATTGATCTTTACTTAATTTACATAGTCTTGCAGATGGGGTTACTACCTCTCCAGCCTCTCCAGTGATGATTATGTTCTTATGGCCAATATTTGGAAGAAACTTCTTTCTATTAATAAAAAAAAAAAACCACACATGAAACTTCCAGATGAAATGAATTCCAACCTCTTTTTCTCCTCATCTATTCACAATTCTAGACCTCAGTGCTTAATTATGACAGGTGCTCCAAATTCACGTCCAGCTTTGCTTCACCTTGTCCATGCTTTCACCAAGAATGTGGGCTTGATGATCTGTGGCCACGTACATATGGTAAATGTATTCTATCTTTACTTAAAGTTATGTTTTGCGTTTGGTGAGGGGTTTTTTAACCTATTTGCTTTTTTTGGTTCTTGTTTGTGTGGGGTTTTGTTGGTTTTGTTTTATTGTGGTTTTTGTTTTGTTTGTTTTTTCAATGAAAGTATTGTTAGACATGAGAAGTGCAAAGAGAGACTTACTGGTAGGATCCACTTATGGGTTACCACTATTCCTGTTAGGTATGTTACAGGAAAAGCTTTGCAAAGTTAGTTTCTTTGGTCATTTGATGCTTAAATGCTGAGGAAGTGTAATAGGAAGTGCAGATTGGATTAGAGCCCGGGTCTCTCTGTCCATGTGTCAGAGTCTCGTGCAGTCTCTCATGCTTTGGACAGAGCAGTTGGTCAAAATAACGCACAGCACACAGCTAGATTTCCTTTCAGTGTTACTGTGTCAGGGAGATAGATTCCTGTGTAGATTTCTTGCAAAGCATGGTCTAAAATAGCAGACTGTAGGGGTTGGGGGGGCGGGGAGGAAGCAAGCTTCAAGTAACTGTTCTTCAAAATCATGCTTTTCATGTGTTGTCTTAACTGTGGTATAAGGTGGCTGTCATACTGTGATCCGTACCAAAACTTCACTTAGCTACAGAGAGGGTGTTGCATCTGGTAAACATTGGTAAATATGTTTTAGCGTATTGGGATTGCATATTTTAGCTTCATGTTTTAAGGCCAAACTTTTTTCTGTCACATCACTAAGAACATTTAAGCAAGTGTAACTTTAAATACAAAGAGTCATTACTCTTAAATATGTGTAAATTTATCATACTTACTAAATATGACTTCTGATCTAATGAACAGAGAAAAATAAATCAAGTTAATGCAATTCACAGAACATATATTTTGTTAAGCAAATATTAGCCACTTTTGTCTTCAGAAACCTTAATTCTCTTAACCCTTGTCTATACAAACTTAAAATTTCAGTAAGTGCAAAGAACAAACTGAGTAATGCTGGAGAGTATTCCATCCACAGATGGAATTACTGTCTTTCAAAAGTAGGGCTGTACTGAAAAGAATTAAGGTAGTGTCATCCTTCTTGTAGGAAGGCAATTCTGATTAGAGACTTTTCTGGAATCATATCCGATCTTGTTCAGCTTGAAACAAATAGTCTCATGAAGCCTAATATTAAAGTCATTCTGTATTTGTGTCTGTTTCCTTAGAAAGCCTTTTCTCTTTAAAACTACCTTATGCTTTGGAGGACAAGCTTGTGCTACGAGCTGGGGAAGTGGGTTGTGCTCTGCAGGAACAAGATTGCTAAAGTTTGAGTAATCGTCTTCCTAAAAATGAGAATCTGGTCCACTCTTTGATGCTGACAATGTCTGGTATTTTGTCGTTTTGGGTTTTTTGATAGTGTGGAAGCATGTTTTGAGGTTCTTCAAGTTTGAATAGGATTCTAGCAGTGAAATTAAAAATAAAAATGGGGGGTGTCTTTATTACTATTCATGCTCATAATTCTTGTTCCCTCTCCTCTTTTTCACTTTCTTATTTTGAAAGGGTCCTCGGAGGCAAGCCATGAAGGAACTGTCAACTGATTTGGCTAAATATCAGCGATGGTTAATTAAAAAAAAGATGAAGGCTTTTTATGCGCCAGTGCATGCAGAGGACTTGAGGGATGGAGGACAATACTTAATGCAGGTACACCTCTCGCAAATATTTTTTTTTTTTAAATGGAAGTGGTGAACATGAACATCAAAATTAGAAGTGTTTTTATACTTCAAAGTATTTTCATTTTGCAAAGTTATCTTAAGACTTTGATGAAAAATACTTGGTCTTCTGCTTAAGAAAATAAAAGAACCTTTAGTTGTTTCAGTAACGTGGGTTTTTAAAAAAAAATAATTTTTTTTCTTCTTAGGCTGCTGGTTTGGGTAGAATGAGACCTAACACCCTTGTTGTTGGATTTAAGAAAAACTGGAGACAAGGTGACATGAGAGATGTTGAAACCTATATCAATTTATTCCAGTAAGTAGAAAATGCAGAGATGTAGTTCTCATGTTCCATTTCAGTACATTTGGAAATAAGTCAAGAACATCTTAATTGGATGAAGTCTCTTTCAGGTAGACTCAGATTTTTCTGTGTTGCTGATCTAGCATTCTTCAATACTGTCTTTTTCTTGATATGGAAATTAATAAAGAAGTTTTTTATAGTTTAAACAGATTTCTATATAACAACTCAGTGTCTAGAAAGAGTTGTGCAGTGTGATCTGATGTTTAAGAGTTACTGTTGTTAGAGATGGAACTAGAGTCTTATGTACTAGTCTGCTGAATTCTTTAAAGCATAGTTTCTGTTGAAAGCAGGGGGTTTCCAACATTTCTTCTGTACAGATTAAGTGTAGTAGAGAACGAATCGACTCATGATGAAGTTCTATCTTCATTAAACCTTGCTGTCATATACGAGAAATATTTTATTTGCAAGATACACAATACTGACACCCAAAGTAATACAGTAGTCAAAAAGGAGATGGGAAAAGAAATCGAAGTGTAATCTGACAGTACTGAAAGGCACACCAGTTCTGGCTGAAAAATTTAATAGAATAACTTGTGCTACAAACACTTAAACCTCCAAAACTTGCTGCTTCACTTACACAGAGAGGTTTTTTTGTTTTCCTTATGTGTTGTTTAGCCTGCTTCATTTGTGCTTTACACTTCTCGTATATTGTGGATTTAAAAGAAGAGGAGGATGGTGAGTTACAGGCAGAGATTAGAAAAGGAAAAAAAGAAAATACACTCCCACTCTCCCAGCTCCTTAAGAGAAAAACAGGAGATCCAAATGCAGTGAAAAATAAGGAAACATGTTGGTTAGTTCTTGGTGTTCCTTTTTTTCCTATTTTATTTTGCAATGGCTTGTGCTGGAAGATCTCTCAAGTGCAACAAGTCATGTGGTTCTCCACATCCCAAAAGAGAAACCTCAGGAGGTAGTAACTGTACGTCAACTATATTTCTGGAAAACCTGTGGAAAATTGAAAGCTTCTGAAGCCCACAATAGAAACATATCTAATCAGTACAATTTTAACACATTAAATAATGGATTTAAAATGTTCACTAATGGGCAAAACACTTTCTTCTTAAACCAACCTCAATTTTTCTTGCATTTATTATAAAATATGTTGATACTTGGAACATTTCTAACCAAGTCTTATTACTTCTAAAGAGAAGTGTTTAATGAGTGAAATATTGAGAAGATTCTCTCTGTGGAAATGACATGGGAGGGAATTCTCTAATTTATGGTTGTTTGTAATGAGCTCTTATATTTAAAAGACTGATGATTAATGGCTAATACAAACTGTATGATATTGTTAAGTTCATGTTTTCCTATGTTATATCTTGGAGATTTTGTCCTTCATTTTACTCCATTTTTATGCAGCCATTTATTCAGGCTTCTTGTTTCTACAATAATGAACGTTTCCCCCTTTTTAAAGGAGTGAGTTCCTTCTCCATCAGATATAATGGGAATAGGCATATTATAGCTTACAGCTGATTTTATTCTAAATTACAACTTCATAGCTGTTCTTAATACTCAAATGTTTTGGAAAGATGTCATAGATTTTTAGTTCTTAGATTAATGAGATCTATTCAAAATAAGTCCCTTCATGGGGGGGAGGGGAGATAAAAATTTAGATTTCTCAATGTGTTTTGTCATTTGTACAGACCTTAACTCACCTGTTCACGTTGCTTTTATTTAATCACTGTTTACATAGGGGAGAGATGGAGGAAAGGGAATAGATACCCTTTCTATCTCTTGCTTTTCAAGATACAGTGTTCAGTTCACTGATGCAGTTGATAGTTTGGAATTGAAACTGAAATTGTAACACAAATTTATGTTTTGGGAGTTTAAACGGCAATGTTTAATCACTAGAATTTGTTCAGAGTGTGTGAAGTAGGTCCTTTGGGAAGGAGAAGGTTGTAAACTACTTTTATTCTTTTTGTTTAGTGATGCCTTTGATATTCAGTATGGTGTAGTTGTCATCCGCCTAAAGGAGGGCCTGGACATTTCTCACCTTCAGGGCCAAGGTAACATTTATTTTGTTTCATCTGGTGAATAGTCGTTCTAATTCCCTTTTAATACTGCTTTCTGAAAATATTAAATGAAGATAAGTCATAGGAAAAAACCAACAAAAACCAAAACACCACTCTTATAGAAGAAAAATCATTGAAATTAGTAAGTCTGAAATGTAAAATAAGAATAATCCATGTTCAGCAACAGAACTTGGTTTTCTGCATGTTTCAACTTCCTGTATTTGTAAGCTGTATATAGTTGCTTCCCAAATATTTACTATTTTACTGAAACAAATTAAAGAGGCTGCCAAACTGGTATCAAGTATTTGGGACCCAAGTCTTAAAATCATGAAAATAACAAATGTTGCATGATCCAAGAATGCTATGGGTCAGGTGTGGGTTGCCAACTCCTAAGCACACTAGTTTAGAGACCTCAGCAGTAGTCTAAGTTTGGAAAGGTTTTCTATTTTCAATGTAGACAACTTAATTATGCTGTGTAGGTAGTGGTCTTAAGCCAAATAGTATAATTTCAGTTAAACTTCAAGCAGAATAATGAGGGAAGCCTGTGAGCTTTGGCAGCAATTGTCTACTGAATTGCTAATGTGTAATTTGTTTGTAGCTTGCTCCAGTGCTGCTACAATGAGGAAGAATGCTTGTGACATGCTCTGTAGGGGGGCATCTTCCTGAAAGAGGGGAGGTTTGTTCCTTCACTGGAAACATATGAATGTCTTAAGACTTAGAGAGAGGCAGAGAGCCTGTCACTGTGTGCAAGAGGGCAGAGAATTATGAGAAACATCAAGGATTGAACCTGCAGTGTGAAAACAGCATTGCTCAGCGGACTGGGAAATAGAACACCAAGTCTTAGTATCCACTGGGGACTGTGAGTTTGTTTTGACAGCTACCAAGTAGCTCCACTGAAGCCAAACCTGGAAAAAACAGCTTGGCTGTTAGACATACTTGGTCTGGGCCCTGTCTAAAGCTCATCTTCTTCTTGGAGTTAGAGTGGAAGTGGAAAATGTTTCACAAAGTAATTTTTTTTTTCTTGGTTGTACTTCCTCAGTATTAGCTAGCTCTGTTTTATGTTTAGCCTGTGGTAATGCAATCAGCACCCAAAATCTGGGGAGGAACTAGCAGGAAATTAGAGCTCGGCTCAGAGGAGGAGCCTCTTTGTACTCTGAAGCAGTTCATGTAAGATTTTTGTTGTTGTTTTCTGCTATTTTTTTCCCTCTCTTCACCATAGCATAACAGCTGCAGTAGAGTTTAACCAGCTGTGAACCATCTGTATATAGTCATATACGTCTTTTGATACCATGTGGAACAATTCAGTGGTTTATAATGTATTTCTTTGCTTTCTCAAAGAAGAGTTACTTTCATCCCAAGAAAAATCTCCATGTACCAAGGATATTATAGTAAAAGTGGATTATAGCAAGAAGACAGAGACAGACACTTCTATAGCTTTTGCTCCATCATCTAGTGAAAGAACTCCCACTGTACATAAAGGTAACTTCTAGTTAGCAATGAAATTTGAGTTCTCACTGTTTCTCTCTCTCTCTCTCTCTCTCTCTCATTCCCTCTTCAGTTCCTCTCTCCCTTCACCAAGGAATTATTTAAGGGATTTTTGTGTCTGTGGAACGGAAACGTGTTGTGCTTAGACATGCTGTTGATGTCTAATCACTTACGTACTTTGGTTTAGAGCTTACCAGTATGTAAAGTAAGTCTTTCACATCTAGTCCCTAAATAAAACAGGTGATAGACAGTGACCTACAATGGATTTTCTTTGTTAATGAGTTTGACAAGCATTAAAAATTGCTTGAGAATATGCCACACATTTATATAGTAAGTGTGATTTGAAGGCTGCTAAATTTATGAGGAATTTTTCACCTCAGGCTAGAAAATTGTATGCATGTTAACAAACACAAATCATTCAGGATATTTTGACATGACGATAATTAACTTTCTTTAAGCTTTTACTTTAAAAAGGAGTGACTTAACAGTTGAGTGAGTGATGTAATTATTTTTTTTTTTTTTAAAGTACAAGTAAATTTCAGGATCTGGTAGACTGCATTTGTGTGCTTTTCTTTGTATGAAAATCCATTTCATTCTACACCTTTATGTTCTCATTTCTTTCATATACACTAGTTGTGTTTTCATTAACATCACAAAGGAAATTAACCTTTTTATTTTGTATCTTTAAAAATCTTCCAGAGGAGGACGAGGATGGAAAGACTCCAACACAACCACTGTTGAAAAAAGGCAGGCATTTTCCACCTTTTTGTGTTAAATCATTCTTTTGCATTGTTAATTTCAGTTTTCCTTTTGTACTTCTTTCTACACATATATATGGGAGAGAGGAAAATATAAACCATGCAATGTTAACTTGTTTCTTCATATCTACTTTGGAATGTGCTTCATCTTTAGGGATTAATATGTGGAAAAAGGCAACTGTGTGGAAATTCCCAGAACAAGTTGCTACTGAGAAAGGATTCTGCGTGTGTCTAAGATATGTTGGCTGGTGTTGGGTTTTTTTTTGGGGGGGGGGTTGTTTTTGGGTTTTTTGGGTTTTGTTGTTGTTGGGTTTTTGGGTGTTTTTTTTTTTTTTTTTTTAACTTTAGCTCTTAAGTAATATTTGAAATGTGTTCAGGAGCCTGCTTAGTTCTTTGTCCAGGTATCTGTCTGAGTCCTTACTTGATTTAGGAGTAAGGGAAATATTATCTAATGGTATAGTCTGTTCAGTAGGTCTTCTATAGTCACAGTTGTTCCTCTGTTACTTGGAATTGTTCAATAGCTTGCAAATTAAGGCATGATATAGCCACTCAGTGAGATTAACATCTGAAGTAATGCAAAGTAGTCATTCAAATAATCAGCATTTTGACAGATGAATTGAGCAGTTTTCACTTCCTGGTTTATTTCAAACTTTTTGAATTAAGCAAATATTTTTGTCTTAACTAAGACTTACCTAACTTTTTTGGCATTTTCTTCATAATTTAAATAGCTAGAAGCTGTTATGTTTTAATAATGGAAAGAGAGATTACATATGGAAGCACAACATGGCAGTTTGGAACAAATCCCAGTATGTAGTAAAATAGTACATTAATGTAAATCAGTCACAGATGTACTCTAAATTTAAAAATTCCTAATAAAATAAGGACTGAGATGAATATTCAACTCCTGGTTCTTGTTCAAACTGAGACTTTAATTAAGGGAAAGGAGTTATTTTTTCTATATTTTTTAAAAAAATACACTTGCCTGTATTAGTCTAATTGAAAATGCCATTGTTGTCTTGTTCTCAGCAAATCCAATATCTTTGTCACACAGAATAGTCTATATTGTGCTTCAGAGCCTAGCACATGCAGGCTCTACTTGTACTTGTTGCAAAAGATAGAATTCCAATATGCAGAACTAGCTTTTATTTTCACTACATACTTAAAGAAAAATGGATTTAAGAAAAGTGCTTAGGACATGGCATACTTGTAAATTACTATCTATACGTTTTTAGGGAAATTTTGTCATATTGCAAGAGGTAGCAAGTGTATGAGCTAATGCTCTGAAGTATGTATGCAAGGTTAGTTACATTGTCCAGGCAAATGACTGTATAAAGATATTACAGATCCTTCATTTGTCAAATGTCTGCTAAATTACTTTGATATTTAAATCTTTAACTGCTGAAGCTGAGTTTGCAGACTCCCTAAATATACCTAAGTTTACATCCATTCACTCAAAATTTGGAATTGGCTTAGGGGAGGAAGAAACAATTTTAATTTAAACTTAGAGATACCGCAACATATGAAGAAGTTGCATTTGGTGAATTTCAGGGTGATTAACCAAAACACTTAAAAAATGAAATTTCATCATATTTTTTTCCAGATTCAAAGAGCCCATCTTCTCCTTTAAACTTGGCTGACCAAAGACTTCTTGATGCTAGTAGTCAGTTTCAGAAGAAACAAGGGAAAAGCAATATTGATGTCTGGTGGCTCTTTGATGATGGAGGTAATGTGCTTTATACTTTGAAAACAAATGTTGAAAAAAAGGATTACTGAAGTTATTTTTAATTAATTGTTAATAGATATCTTTCAGTCAGTTTATATATAGATTACAAATTTGTGCTATTAAAGTCTAACAGGATGCTATGTTTTCTGAATCATTCTGAAATTCTGGTCAAAATGCAGGTTTGACACTGTTGATTCCGTATCTCCTAACAACCAAAAAGAAGTGGAAAGACTGTAAGATCAGAGTGTTCATTGGTGGAAAAATAAACAGGATTGATCATGACAGAAGAGCGTAAGTTTACCTTTAGAAATTTCATTTAAAATTCTAATAGAACATGTTACACAGTAGATTACTTTCTCTACCTAGTAGCTTTCTTTCAGTTGTTCTTTGCTTCAGGTGTATTCATATTCTATTTTCTTTCTCCAAAAAAGTTCCATTTCCCCTAAATTATTTTGGAGGAGATGTCAAGTTAAACCAATTTGTCTGCAGCATTGTCTGACACTAACTAATATTTTTCTGAGGTTGTCTTTAAGGGAGAGCTCTTCTCTTAGCTTTTTATGGGTTTAAAATGTTTTGGGTTTTTTTTCCAAAGCATATTGTTGATTTATAGCCATATGCCAGGTCAATTTGATTTTTTTTCTATCGCACTTACGTTGATTTTTTTTTTTGGTCTTAAACTAGTGTTTTTATTACCAAACACCTACCTGTTTACCCTGTGAAATAAATAAGTATCTGATCATGCATAAAGGCTTGTTTTTCTGATACAGGATGGCTACTTTACTGAGCAAATTTCGGATAGACTTCTCGGACATTATGGTTCTTGGGGATATTAATACTAAGCCAAAGAAAGAAAAGTAAGTCTCAGAAAAATGCAACTTGTTTGTTAGTTTAATTCTTGATGTCTTTCATTAATTTGGAATACTTAATTCTTTCCTACATAACAGTTTTGATATACTGATTCCTATGACATCCAGTGTTTCTTGAAAATGCAGGAAGTAAATTAAGCATTAAGTCCTACAGCCAAGAACATAGAAGTTTGTAGTTTTTAAATCCCAGGCCCTTAGATTGTAACATGAAATTTAGAAAAATACAGTTTAAAAAAATGCAATTTGTCTGGAGCAATCTCTTTTTTAAAAACAGAAATGCTCACAAAACCTTAAATGGTCTTTTAACTTGGAGTCTTAGTTTAACATACCAAAGCTTGGTTTTTTAAATAGCCTGATCTATTTTTTGGTTTTTTTATTTTGGTGTTTTGGGGTTGGTTGTTTTTGGTTTTATTTTTGTTTAAATTGCTTGGACTTTTAATTTACACAGGAATGATCATACATGTGATATTTGTGATTTTCAAATTTAAAAAAATACTAATTGTCGATGACTTTCAGTACAAATTTGTAACAGAAGGTGTAAGATCTAAAAATAGCACCCTCCTTTTCCTTCAAGTTGTCTTTAGTATGTTGAAGTTGTAAAAATATCTTTTTGCATGGATATGCATGTATCTGAATAACTTGATATGTCATGCAAATTAGGAAATACTGTTTTGCAACTTATGTAAATCGTAAATGCTAATATGCATTCTTTTATATGCTGCTTTTTAATGACCTTTTCTTAAATATACAGAATATATCAAGCAACTAAAACAGTAGCATTATTTCTAGCACTCTGCTGCTTTTGGATGTCTTTGCTTCTGGGAGCCTGCTACTGTAAAATGTGTAAACATAGAGGTTGCACACATTTATCCATTAAAAAAATCGAGATTTAGAATTACATGGAATTATTTTTATTTCATAGAAGCAATCCATGAGTTATTTCTTCTGAGAGCATTCTTTTATATCTGTGGATGAATTCCCTGCAATATATCCAAAACCTTTCTAAGATAGCAGTTGGCATTAACAATAGATGTAAACTAAGTGGAGGAAGATGATTTATATTTAAATGTTGCTGTGTTGTATAATAGAATATTGTTAATACTTTTCTTTTTATTCAGCCAAAAAATAGCAGATCACATTTGAGTTTTCCCTTTTGATAAAGGTGAAGACAGCGTAACTTCAGTAAAGACCACAAAGGGTAGAAAAAAGGATTTTTCTAGTAGTGTGGGAGTTTCCTGGAGGAACGGGAACACCTCAGTTAGAAAATGGGCATGGGGGGGTGTTTAGTTATGCAGAAGCTAACATGTTACACATACAGAGATTACAATATATCCTAAGAGTTTATTATCATTAATGTTTGTTAAACTTTCCACACTGTAGTTTGCAACCACAGAAGATTGGCAATACCTTGTCATCTTTATAAAAAAAAATTCAAATAGCATCAAATGTAGTTATTTCATTGGATGTAAGGCATACATTGCAGTATGTTCTGCTAAAAATCTGTTTTATTGATCTCACATGCTGGGGCTATTCAAAGACAAATTACTTTCATAACTTGTGGCAGCCTTTGTTTGCTGTTCAGATATCCTAATGTGGGTAGAGAAAGTAGGGTAATGTAAATTGTTCTTCCTAGTAGAAATGGATGCCGCTTTAGTCTTCGGAAGGTTTTTTCAAAGTTCTTGCTAAAGTTCAAGTCAATTCAAAGTAACACCTCATATTCTAACAAGTGCAACAGGAAGACTAAACAAGATGGCTATGGTTATTTGCATTTGAATGTGGCTCTTGGACTGTATTGGAAAGAATAAAGGGAAACAAAATAAAAACAACAAAGCCAAAATCCTAGTGGCAGTAGTGTGAGACTTCATAGCTATTTTTTTTAGTATGACATGTAAATTTCTTCTTTCAAACTGAATTCTGAAGAAGCTACTGTTAGTTACTATACATTTTCTAAGGCAGTACTCTTCAATTTTCAAACAATTACAGTAAAACTACCAAAAGTTATTGTTTGTGGTTTTTGGTTTTGTGGGGTTTTTTAAGCTGGCTAAAACTTTCTATTTAGTTGCACTATGAACAGTGACAGCTCCTAAATATGTCCCTAATTGTTTGTTTGAATGATAATGTCTGCATATACAAATAGCTGATTTGATGTTTTAACTGCACTTGGCAGGGAAAAAAATCAGTTTTATTTATTTTTACATGGTAATAAAACTTACTTTCTGATATCATGAAAGTTATTGCTGACATACAGACTCATATCTGTTTTAATATGGATGTTCACTTAATCATTCCAGTATTGCAGCTTTTGAAGAAATGATAGAGCCCTTCCGACTTCATGAAGATGATAAAGAACAAGAAGTTGCGGACAAAATGAAGGAGGATGAACCATGGAGGATAACAGATAATGAACTTGAGCTTTACAAAACAAAGGTTCTGTATTCTTTAGAGTGTTATGTTAAATGTTGTTAAACTTTTTTTTCTCCTACTGCATTTGTGGATGTGATATCAATGAGTTCACACCTAAACTGCTTTCCTACAGTATTTCAGCAGTTAATTTAGAGTAATATAGTCTATATTCAGCTGTTTGACATTTTTGACCAAATGACCATTTTTTACTTTGTTAATTAAAAAACCAAACAACACACTATATCTAATTGTGGTGTTAAGGAGCAATTAAAGGTTTGATATATTTGGCAAGCAGTTGTGTGCTACAGAGACATCAGAGGTACTCCTCCTCAAGTGCTTCTACGGAGGAGACTTAGGTAGCATCCTGTAACAGGATGCAGATACAGACAAGTATCTAAAGAAAGACTGGCTAAATTTTCAGTGGTCTGAAGTTCTTCAGGATGGTTCTGAGTATATTCCACCCTTACCTTTTTTTTTTTGCTGTCTCGGTTTTTTACAACTTGAGGATTTGTAGTAGAGAGGAAATGGGATTGGTAGGTCATTCTGCATTGTAAATGCTGGGGGGGGGGGGGGGGGGTGTAACTAAATGTTTAACAGGTAGGTGCAGATTGACTGGCACCTGCTGCTGAGATCTGCTTACTGCATATCACCAAGAGGCTGGGCTTTGGAAGATTTAATAAAGTACAGTTACTTTATAGTTAATGAACTGCTTGATGCCTTCCTGTTCCTCATGTCAAAACTCATTTCAGTGAGATAACTGAAGTGATTTATTCTTTTGTCTGCTAATAGCTTAATTATTTCTGCAGACACTAGCTTGGAGGCTAACTAGATTTCACCTCATCTGAGAACAATAGAACTATAAGAAATGATTAACTCAAAATGTTTGCTAGAAAGTCAGTTGATGTAAAAGAGAACTGAGGAAGCTACCTCAGATGGTAAGACAGGATAGGGTAGTAAGAACAGGGAGGTGCCTTATAGGGATAGGCTTACCAAATGAAGATGGGGCTTCACTTCTGTAAGACCTGCTCACTATGAACCTAGAGAATATAGTTAAAAGAACCTGGAAGACAGCATAAGGGGCTCTTGCTTCCCAGCTATGGAGGATGGTATCACTATTAGATGAACTATCTTAAACTTAGCTTTCATAGTACTTGGCTTATTTGCATATTTTAAGCTTACTGCTTTCTTCTCTCCCAGCCTTGCAACCATAGGTATTTCAGAAAAGTGAATAAATTGCCAAACTGAGGTGGAAGTACCTGCCTTCTATAAATGACTCGTACCAATTGATCATAACTGGTTTTCATTTTTCTTGAATAAATAAACTTTTTTTAGTTTTATTTAAAAGATCTTCCTAACAAGTTTCACTTTAATTACAGACTTATCGCCAAATTAGGCTAAATGAGTTGCTGAAAGAACATTCAAGTACAGCTAACATAATTGTCATGTAAGTAGATGATTTGTACTGTTACCTTAATTGATATAGAAATGCAATTTGAAATACATGTAAATACAGGTTGGGGAAAAAGCCTGTGCCTTGACTTACTCAAGGAGGTTTCAGTGCTGAAAGTATTTATTAGACATGTGGAGCTACTGTAGTGATGAATGAAAAGTGGCGTGTGTAGTTTTGTGCTTCTGATACACTGGTTTAGGTGATTACCTCCACATTTCTACTGCAGCTCAGGATTCTCACATTCCTTCCACGCCTGTGTGCAACTATTTCCCTCTCTTTCAGGTCCTTCCTTTCAGTTCTTTCTAGGAGATATCTCTAGATAAAGCTAGATCATCATCCTGCTGATGGAATTACTTTTGGTGTAAACCAGCAGAATGCAGATCATAGGTTCCTTCACTGTGGTTGCCTTTAGGAGCCTGCTTCAGAGCTCCATGAAGTAGTACTACAAGTGAAGTTTGAGTAGGACAAATATAACTTACTGGGTTTTTTTTAAAAGGAGCATGGCTTGTTTTGGAAGGATTGGGAGAAGGAATATTAGACTGCACCAACCTGGCATTGTAAGAAAAAGCTGTATTTTTAAAATCTTGAAGATTCTTTCAGGAAACTGTTGTCAACTGAGAAAAAGTCTCTATGAAGCTACCTGAATACAAAAGGGTGGTAAGAGGCCAAAAGCGAGGGGTAAATAGATGTAAAGGCCTGTGGTGCTTAAGATAGGAACTCTCAACTCATTAACTGAATTGGAGGGGGCGGGGGGACAGAATTCTAAAAAGATCAGGGAATTTGACTTAATATCTACTAGTTGTAGAATCATATTTTCATATTTATGTGGTATGACTTGTACTTAACCAGGTTTCTCTAATTGTTGAATGCTTTTTTTCCCTTGTGAATTGTAGGAGTTTGCCAGTTGCACGAAAAGGTGCAGTTTCTAGTGCACTATACATGGCCTGGTTAGAAGCTCTTTCTAAAGATCTGCCACCAATTCTCCTTGTTCGTGGGAATCATCAGAGTGTTCTTACCTTCTATTCCTAAGAGTACTGCACATGGGAGAGCTATGATGAAATGGTACTTCAGTGCCCAGGGGAGAGTGACTGATATGGTCTATAGTTTATTAACATCACAAAGGCAAAAAGTGACTCTTCTTTCACTGTTTCACTGACTTGAAAGCACACAAGGAAAGTCACTGTATTTCTAAAGTTGTGACATCTTCAGTTTTAGTCTGTATTTTCTGTAATTTAATCTTGCTTAATGGGGGAGGATTCTTTGTTAGACTGAAGAACAAGACAAGCTTTTTGTTTGCTATTTGAATAGCAGCAATAAAATGTTTTATTTTTGATCAATGAAAGGATTATAGATTTATAAAAGCCTTTTAGCCTTGAGGTGCCTTCTGAAATTAACCAAATCTTATCCGTACATCCTATTTTGTAAATTTATATAGAATGTCAAAATCTGCCTTCAACTAAGAGTTTAAATCAGACTTCCTTTTAGTTTCTAGTCTCTTCCATATTTCAGTAAAAATGAATGCTGCTTTTCAGTCTTCCATTGAGCTATTAGTTCTTAGTACTGTATGTTTTCTATTGTCATAAAGTTTTGGGGTTTTTATTATATCTGTTAGATTTAATGTTGAGAATTGGGGCAGGTCGGCTGAACTAAAATTCCTGATGTTATTGTCAAGACTGTACTACTAAATTTTGTAACAAAGTAAAACTAATTCTACTAGCCAAAAAGATCCTTGTCTCAAATTTGACAATGCGTACTACTTTGGCACTACTGAGATACACAGCCAACATTAGCTACCTTGGTGAAGGATACTGGCCAATCTTTGCTCTGTAGCTCTAATACGAAACTGAATTCCTCTTACTGGCTGAGGCTTTTCATCTTACTACAAACTAGAAGAAAATAAAAAGACCTGTCCTAGTTCTTCGCATATTATGTTTTGGTGTCACTCTCAACTTATTTTGAAACAAAACTCAGCTTAAGGCTTGAATGGGGATAATATAAGCAATGTGATGCTATCTAACAGAAAACAGTAAACACTATGTGGAATCTTGCTATCCAATATGAAATGTAAAAGCTACAGTTCTCTCGCATTTTTCAACAAATGGTTAAAAGGACCACTAGTTACTACGGGAGATGTTTTTAGGTCAATTCATTCAGTTCTCAGAAAATACATTTAGTCTTACTCAATAATACTCAGGTTTGATCGTTTAGCAATTTAGATCTATTCCATACATCCGACTTTATACATTTTCTATGTTCAATAAAGAAACTGCCAATCTTGTGTGCCCTTTCATTGTATATTTTGAAAACTTCATAATTTAGTCTACTATGAACATCTACAAAAGAAATTTCACTTGAGCCTTTGTATAAAGGTTAGTAATGTGAACAGTTTTTTAAATTCCTATATATTTTGGATAGAAAGGATTGCCTAAAAACATTTCACAAGCTTTTGATATTAGAATTGGACATGCTACTGGATCAGTTTACCAGTGGTTGAGTGAGTTTCATTTAAGAATGCACAGAAAAGGTGTATTTTTATGCTAAATACAAGATCAAATTGAAATGTAACTCTTTCTTTTGAAGGAAAAGCATAATCATTGTGTGGCAAGGTGGAGCTCTTCAAGTTGTGATTAAAGATAAAAATATTCTACACAGTGCAGTATACACTGTTGTCAGGTTCTTGGTAAAATGCAGAAAATTTTTTTGCTGTTTCTGTCAATTGGATTTGAAACTATTGAATCATTTCACTTAAGAAAAATAAACATGCATGTTTTGCTGCTAAGTGTGAGATAACTGATGCCAGCATGAACCTAGCTTGTTATGATAAACATTATAAAACAAGACAGTTTGCAGTAAAAGTGCTGTTTCCTTCCAGGTGAGGGGGTGGGGATCAAACTTACCAATGTATCTATTACAGGTTTTTAGGGGATAAGGATGTCGCATTGTGAATATGGAATCATTGCCATGTTTCTTCTTGTTTTGTGGGTTACATTCTTTTGAACAGTTGGACAGTAAGGCATGGACTTAATGCTGCTATCTTAAAAAAAAAAAGTGCACAGCTACACTTATTTAAAAGGTTTTTTGCCCATTCAGAAAACCATTGCTTGTGATCTGTAACACAGAAACCAAATGAAGTGTGTGTATACATGCATATATGTGTATAAAATTCTATAAAATGTATCTAAATATGCATATGGGGATAGTTAAGGTAATGTCTGTGAAATAACATAGGATGCTTTTCACATGCACTCTCAAAAGTCCACTAACACTAGGCATGAGGTCAAGTTTCGAGATTATTTGCTACACTAAAATTTCAAGAGTTAATGGTAATTGCTTGTAACAGATCTCAGTTAGTGGCAGTCACTCTAACTTCTGCTTTTGACGCCAAATTTAGTTATGTTCCAATCATTAATTACTTGAAAAATGAAATCACACATGGCAATTCATACATTCTATAGATAGGTTTCTTTCTATGGGTTTAGAAATACAGTAATAGCTGGAGAAAATCAGTTATTTATTTGATCACTTAGATTTGTATTTAGGTTTCCTTTTACATACATTCTTTTTATATGCTTCCTCACATTACATATTTAAAAATAACTGAAGCTAATTTAAAGATTTGAGCGTTAGTGGGTAATGGCCCACTTGAAGATGTAAGATTTGATACTGTACTGTAACTGTCACACACAAATGCTTTTCTAATGTTTTAACGTAATTATTGCAGTTAATACTTTGTACCAGGGGGATGTCACTGCAATAAAAGGAAGTGAATTCAATATAACTATCTTGTGTAACAAAGCCTTTTTTTATTTGTGGGGGATAGGGAATAATGTACATAATTTAACAGATTAATGCCAAAAATAGTTCCTGATACATGAGTATGCTTATTGCGCACATCTGATACTTACCTTTATTGTGGAATTTGCATAGGACCATGAGTAGAATTTAAAGGCATTCAGGTATCTCGTACAAGGAGACAAATGTTTTGTTCTTGGGGGAATGTTTGCTGCTACTGGGTTAGGAATAGTGGTGACGGCATATGAAAAATAAACCTTGTTTGACTTGCTGAAATTTGTCATGATGTGCCAGACAATGCAGACCAATATGCAATATGAGGTGTGTTTAAACTGGAACATTAGTATCTGAAAATTTGTTTCTATTACATATACAATTTGTTTTGCTTCTGAATACGGTGAAAGACTGTTAGCTCCCCTTTCTCCCTCAAAACTGCCCCCTGGAATATGAGGAAGTATGTTGGTAGAATAACTTGTAAGCAAAACATGTTTCACCTTCACTGATCTACATTCAACTAGAAACAGGTTGGAAAATCTAAGTTTAAGAGCATAATGAGAAATGGCAAGTTGTTTTCTCAGCTGAGGGTCTGATGAAGAAAGATGAAGAACTTTAATCTCATCAATTTTGGTGTTTCCCAGTGTAGCTAGGTGACTGAGAATTTTTAGTTTAAAATTAACCTCTAATAAATTCAGACCTTTACTATATAACCTTAGTTTACTAAATGCTCTGCATTAGGTTGACGGAGGCTGATGCCTGCATTTAGGAGAGGGGGAAACAAGCTGGTGGAAGTCATCACTGTGTTAACTCTTGAACTGGAAGAGTAAATGTTGAAGCAGTAGCATGCATCTCCAAACAGAAGCAGGGAAGATGTTTCTCTTGAAACATGCCTTTTATGCCCAGAGCTCCATCTCACAAATGACAAAGTGTACTTCAGGCTGTATATGTAACAGTTGCTGATAAGGTGCACAACCAGAACTTACCTGTGTGACACTCTAAGTCAAGCCTAGGCCAAGTCCTTACATCCCTGTTCTTGCTGGTGTAGTAGGCACAGATTTGAGAGCAGAAAAAAGAACTGGAGAACAGCTTCTTTGCTGGTCTCACCCTTGATCTGCTCAGTCTTCTAGAAAAGGTTGGCTTTGCAGCTCCAGAAATCGGCATTCACTCTGCCCTCTGCTAACCTGCTTCACGGCTTGTGCAGGCCTAGGGGTACTAAGCTGCCATCACACAGCCATGTTGTGACATGCAGCCATGTTTACCTGCATATCACAACGTAATGGCGAGAGGCAAAATGGAATCATTCAGGATTTAAAATATCAGGCAATGCTATATTGAACTTTTTAACTTGCGCTCCAGAGAGTCCCCTTTCCCGCCCCTCAGAGCCCTGCCGCCCGCCGTTAACACACATCCCCCACACACACCCCGGCACCGCCCCTGCCGGCAGCTCCGCGCTTCTGTTGGCTGCAGGCGTCTCCCCTTGTCCTCCTAGTGGCTGCAGGCGTCTCCCCTTGTCCTGTCGCTCGCGGCGGCCGTTAGACCGTCGGCCCCGGGCCCGCTGTAGTGGCAATGGGGTCCCTGGCTGTGCGAGGTGTAGTATAGCCTCTGCGAACACCTGCCCTCCCTGGCTTGCCATAAGCTTGCCCTTTTGTAAAGTACTCTCATGTTTGCTTATGCATGGTGGTGTGTGCTGAAAATGTTATTATGCTTCAGTGAAATCTCGCAAAATACGCTATTAACAGGAATCTAATGGCAGTAGCAGTGGACGTCAAAGACGACCTCAAAACCCTGCTCCCACCCAGTCATGATCTGGGGGAAAACTGACCTTGATAAGCTGTAGTCAAAAATTCTAGTGTGAGGTTCTGGGTGCAGGCACCTCGTCTTCATAGTCCCTCAGTTCCCCTCCACAGTAATAATTACAAAATCCTGCTAGTAAAGCATGCTTTTTAGTGAAAAAAAAAGACGAAATACTTTCTGTGTAGAGTTTTCTAGGTATTCGAGCTACAATAGTAACGCCAGGTGGCACTATTGTCTTTCAACATTTCAGGAAT